AAAAAAGATGTAATAGGAAACATTGAAATTTGAAGTTATATTTTGTAAACAATTTCAATATTTTATATTCCCTCAGTAAATTCCATAACTATTTCAGCAATTCAAGTACTTTTAAAGGATAAAATCAACATTTGCAAATTTATTGAGTTTTTAAGTGTTGTAAGAACCATGCCATTGTTTGAAAAATAAACTTGTGTTACAGCATGAATTGTCTTTGCTTAACAATATGACATTGCAAATATTGATGGAGTCCATACAAGAGTCAAGATGATCTTTGGATACATATTACATCCAGTGTTTCCTATATTTGACATTCGATTTCAGATTTAATAATATCAATTAGAATAAATTGTTCAGAATTACTTTTTTTTCAGAAGGAATTATCCAAAATGATATGATGTTTTCTACCTAAAAGTAAAATCAAGGATAAGGATAACAATATCATTCCTAACCTTGTTAGTTAAGGTTGATGCTAGTTTACCAAATATAGGTAGGATTATCAACAAATATTGGGATCATTTGCAGTTATCCTGTTATGAAAGTATTATCATACTTCACAGAAATGGGCCTAATGGGCCTACACTTGCTTTACACATGAAATGAGAATCTAAAATCTTAAATATTTCCCTGCTTCATAACACGTTACATATGGCTCATTAACTATATGTAATAGACACACATGTTCAGTTTTTTCATTATTAAAAATATGTCTTACACTTGCAAAAAATTTGTGTTATGATACAAATTGTGCAAAATATGTTGGAAAAATTTGTAAGCAAGTATTGAAACACAAAGAAAAAAAGAAAATGGATTTTACATAAACAGCTTTATCAATCCATCCTGTTCATCTCATTGTCATAAATATTATTGACAGCTTCCTTAAGTTGCCAAACTTTTCATTTATGCCTGATCTTAATAATTCTGAAATGTAATATATGGTAATGGAAATAGTGGATTCAAAATTTAATCCAAAAAGTTAATTTAAAAGTTCATAATATAAATTTTTTTTTACATATTTTAAGGGAGTAAAGTCGTCTGTTTCTTCATGTATGTTTTGGTTATAAAAGGGTAAAGAAATTCAAGGAAACAATGTGATATGATTATGATTTTTAACCTAGCTTTAACAATTTTTCTGTCATATTGCTACATTGTCTGCAGTGTGACAGTTTATAGTTATGTCTATCACTTGAGCATAATGCCGCAGACATGTAGCATGATGTCCCACCAGTCACATTATCCTGACACCAGGCCGACCAGTCCTAACACTAACCTCCTAATGCTGAGTGTCAAGTGAGGCAGCTGTTAGTACCATTTTTATAAGTTTTTGGTATGACTCGACCCGAAATCAAACCCACGACCTCCTGCATCTGAGGCGGATGCTCTAACCACTAGGCCACATTAACCTAAATACTGATATAAATCTTCGAAAGAGATCAGGAATATCAACTGTTAATCTCTTCCATCTTACCTTACATAAATTAGTACGACTTTAAACATTTATGACATTAGTATTCCCAGTACATTGATTTCTTACTATTTTTACCAAAAAATGAAGAAAAGAAAGAACATGATATTAGAATTTTATTTTTCCTTGATCAATTTATGCAACCTGTACATATTTACATGATGTACATGTAAGAATGAACAAAAAGTAACAACAAAATGTGTAGCCAACTTGCCAATTGAAGTAGATGCATAGAAAGCTTTATATCGTGAATTATGGGTTCAGGAGGTATACAAACTCGTAATAATATTTTATGAAAAGCAGTCAAAGTACATTTTTATGTATGCTGTGATATTTAATATTAAAAATACATTTAGATCATATTCTAGAACAGTAGAAGAGGTAGAAGATAACTTTTCTAAATCTTCTATAGAAAAGTAAAAAGTTATGAAACGTTTCTGAAAGTATTCTGTGAAGGTTGACATGGGTTAGACATTTTTTTCTATAAAATATATCATTAGTTTTTAAAATGTTAAAATCCTGTGATGACTATGATATAATGTATTTGTTACAAAATAAATTTTAACTTTAGCAAGTCATGTGTCAAAAACTCAGCATCTTCGTGACTTTTTAGTCTGAAGCAGTCTCACATGGATATGTACATGACAACAAACTTATCTGTACATTATTTACATTTGTACATATATTGTGTTAACTGGAACCACAGTAGCTCAATGGTTATCTGTGACATTGATGTTGTTGGTTCAGTATTCACCAACTTATCAGCCAAGTTTGACTACTATGGAATGTCCATCATCAATGTACTTTCTCAACTGGTCTCAGCATAATATAACCTTCAGAGTGTTCATATGCCATAAAATACCAACTTAAAGCTGGTTACGCCCCTCGTGTTGATCCCTTCCCCAAGTTTTGAAATATAGGTCATAGTTATTACAAGAGTTACTGGTCCAAGTGCTCATTATATTCAACACCATACTTCTCCACAACACTGCTTATGATTTTACTAAAGAACCAAATTCAAGCTCGAATGGATCAAAATCATGAAAATTGAAAATATGGATAGACGTGCACAGTGGTCCCTATATTCAGCTTCCACCAAAGCAGTAATGACACAAAGACCAACCAACCCCATCACATAGGCTGTACATGATAACTATATTCACACATTTTTAACAGAATGAATTTCTCATGCTGTTGAATCTGAACATATGAATGAACAGAAATATTCAGACTCTTTTACATAACATAGAAACAATTGTTTGGGGTACAATATGCTTTTTCATTATTACTTATCTAGTTATAAAGTTTTAAGGCAACATTCATTACATTGCAAATCCAGCCCTCCCATACGTGTGTCTTTTGGGTTGTTTTATCAACAGATGTGCTAAAATGTTGTCTGCTTATAGAGACACAAGCTATATGATAAAATTCACCTTTTGGATGGATAGACTGGTGGCAAAGCCTGCCAGTCATTAGATACTACTGAAGCAGATGTACAAGATCTTCCCACAACGTAACTGCTGGGAAAGCTTCATACTCCAGGCTGCTCCATTAAAACATACATGAGATCCTGGGAAGGTATTTGTAAAGTGGGGCACTCACTCATAGATGCAATTTATAATTTTCCTATCATAATTTTATATAAAATATGCGAAATCAATGTGCCCTGGCATATATTTTGGAAATACTGCCTTCCCCATGTACCATTTATTTTTAGAAAGAACAACCCTCAGTTAGACACTCAGAAAATAAGTTTCTTTTTCAAAGACATTATCCAATCACAGTATATTAAAAAAATAGGCAAGTTGCAGTAGAGCTATATCCCTTTACCCTGGAGTTGGCCCTGTCTGTGGTCTGATATCGTATATAATGTAGATTTCAGCCTTGTGTGAGATATGGGCTAAGGTTACCATATGGTCAATGCTTGGTTGAAGAGAAAAACTGTTTTTTTCCCAAATCCATCAGAAGTATATTAACCACAGTAATTATGAAGTAGCTGCTGAGTAACTTGTGTAGGTAACTGCTAATGTAGGTCCTAGCAGGTCATACTGATCCCATTTTGAAATGAAAAGTATATACAGTAAATGATGGAAATATTATGTCTGACCTTCATCTCATGACCTAAAACTGCTGCGCATCTTGCTATTATCTTGACGAACCTTGCATTTTGGTCTTGACCTCATTCTTAATACATTTATTTGGGAAAAACAGACACATGACAGGTGTTATGAGTTGAGCATTGTGCTGGGATTATAGTGAAGTGGACCTTATGATTAAGAAAAATGCCAGAGAGAAACATGATTACCAATGATATCATTTGGGATCCATTTTATACAGAAATTATCTTATTACTTCGAAATAATGATCATTTGCTTGATATAATTTACCAAAAAAGTTTGAGGACTAAGATGTGTATGTATGTATGTATGTATGTATGTATGTATGTATGTATGTATGTATGTATGTATGTATGTATGTATGTATGTATGTATGTATGTATGTATGTATGTATGTATGTATGTATGTATGTATGTATGTATGTATGTATGTATGTATGTATGTATGTATGTATGTATGTATGTATGTATGTATGTATGTATGTATACATACATTTTAAGTTTTAATATGATTATTTACAATACAAATTCAGATCATGCACAATTGCAGCATTTCATGAAGAATTCCTGATTTTGATTAAGTACTGCAAAAAGCTATATTCCCAAAACTAACAAGTCTAACTTAATAATCTGGCAAGATGTCTTGAAGACATAAAATATCACTGCTTATATTTTAATTCTCTTAGCAATGTAAAAGGCTGATAATTGTACATCTAATTATTACTGAACCATCAACAATTAAGTCTTCTTAACATTTGTCTTCTATGCATCCTGGGCATAATCAATGCCTAATCCAGGTTAATAGTGGCCAATAGATAATTTGCTCAGACTTCTGACACACACATCCAAGCACTAAACAATGTGGTGGTCTGAAAAAAACGTTTTTCATTCAAATTTATGTACATTAATTTATCTGCCTATTTGAGGAAAAACAACTGGCCAGCAATGCCTGTTTAAATGATTATCTTACACACACATTCACCAAACAATGCCATTGTTAAAGTTAAGTTTATGACCTGAATGTTATTGCTACATTTATTAAACCCCCTTGCCACAATCAATTTAAATTACTCATTGCTTAACATTGTAAATATATAGTGCTGCATGTACTTTTGAACACTTACTGAAACAGAACAAAATGAACTTGTTGCAGTTGAGAGATTAGCAGTGATAATGAAACATACCATGCACTGTTTCTACTCTGCAGTATATCATAGTCATGTGAGTGTATGGTTTGGATTTTTAATATAACTTTGAACAATTTTTCAGTCATATTACTGTGATGTCTAGCACTATCTCATCATACCGAATCATGTCCCACCTAATCACATTATCCTAAAACCAGGCTGACCAGTCTAAACAATAACCTATTAATGCTGAGTGGCAGCTGTTAGTTCGATTTTTATAACTCGTTGGTTTGACTCGGATGGGGTTTAAACCCGCAACATCCCGCATCCTAGGAGGACGCTCAAACCACTAGGCCACCATAGTGGTCTTATAATAGTCATAGTTACTCAAAATTCATTGACTACTAGCCTTATTTATTTTACAATTAAGTGTAGATAAAAAAGTAAGAAAGTCTGAATGAAAAGGTTGAGTAATTATACATTTCTGTGATTAAAGCTTGTTTTTCAAGAGCATCAAGGCTACATACACTTGCATAAGCCATCTTGTACCTTTTTAACTTGGACAAATATAAAACTATCATAACAAAAAAAAGTAAAAAAGAAAAAGCTATCTATTGATACAGAGGTTATGAATAAATTCCAGTCCTAACAAAAAAAGTAAAAAAGAAAAAGTTATCTATTGATACAGAGGTTATGAATAAATTCCAGTCCTAACAAAAAAAGCTAAATTTTTATTTCAAAGTAAAGCATTATTATAGAAATCTCATTTGCTCAGTTAAGAGCAGAACTGGCAAAACACTGATACACATTCTTATATCACAGTCAGTCCAAAGTCACTTGTTAAATCAGCTTTTTTAAGAGAAAGACTAAATACTTGTAGCAATTCAAAGTATGGGGAAATATTCATACCAACTCTTTAATAGATTGTTACCACTGTGCGATGAACATTTGTAACTTTATATGCATACATTATATTAAAATCAGATCTCCGCTGTTCAAAGTGAAGATCTGACAGCGACTGCAATTGGGTCATGTTTTGCTGACCTATGTTATTACAATAATTGCTAGTTTTATTAAACCGCTCCAGTGGCCTATGTGGTTAGAGCTTCCACTTCAGATGCAGGAGGTCATGGGTTCAATCCCTAGCTGAGTCATACCCAAGCATAACAAAAAGGCAAGTAACAGCTGCCTCGATTGGTGCTCAGCGTTAAGAAATTAGTTGTGTTAGGACTTGTCAACCTGGTGTCAGGATAATGTGACTGGGTGGGACATCATACTACTTGTCTGCAGCATGATGCCCCAGTGCTAGACATCACTATAAAACTGCCACAATGCAGATATCGTAGTGATGACTGAAATTTTTTTAAAGCTATGTTAAAAATCCAAATCACATACACATTTTAATTTTTTCAGCTAATCAGATGAAGTTTTATATCTTAGCATTTGGGATAATGAGCAGCATGGCTAAAGAGCAAAAATGTTCCAAATGATTTGATTCACCTTCAGAATTCTGAAGTCTGCATTCCAATGGCTAATTCAAAGTTCACCAGAACATGACCCCAAAGTAGTCGCTATCAGATCTTTGATGTTAATCAGATTGACATTATAAAGAAATGTAAATTGTATACAAATATCATAATATAATGAGTATATATTTTTATATCAGATTTTCTACTTATTCTATACTAGTGACATTTATTTGCTATTTGTATTAAGAATTACTAATCACAGATATGAAAGCATGATACAAACATACTTGGATAAAACTGTTATTAGCCAGGCACTGGGTCAAATGCTATATAGAAAGATGCCAATAAAACCATCAACATTCCAATGATTATACCATCAATGAAGGACATTGCATCATACATAAATATTCTACAATTACTGAGACTTCCAATTAACACACCATGTCAATCAATCTTTCAAACTGCTATTGTTCCATCCACAATGGCATTTTCAAAAACAAAAGAAAACAGCATTGTAGCTTCTGGAATAACATTATTCAAGTTGTTATCAGGCAGATTTAGAGCCCTGAGTGGCCAAGTGGTCTAAAAGGCTCAACACTCTAGTTCACTGCCATCTCACCTCTGCATGTGTTTAAATCTCAGCCTTGGCTAACACGTGAAAAAGCTTGCCAGTAGCTTCTCGTTAGTTGGTGGTTCTTCCAAGGATTTTCCTGGGTTCTTCCTGCACCAGTAATTCTGGCCACCATGTATAGCCTATCTTGTAATGGTGTTAAACCCTACAACAACAACCAGGCATATTTAGTGCCACAATAGGCAGTGAGTTTTTCTGAAGCCAAGTCATACATATCATCTGGCATTTCTTTAATGAATAAGGGCACAGCAAGAATGGTCCTCTTTATTTTTCTCGCATAACAAAGTGTTTGACTTTAGCATGAACACAAGCTGTATGAAAGAGAAAGATGTAGTGACAACTTTGCACCTGTATTCAAATGTAACTTATTAGTAGCCAAATTTTGCATACATTTTATAATGTAAATTACCTCCAAATGATAGAACAAGTTAATGGCAGTTTTAAGATTTGGAAAGACTGGAGGTACATATATTATAGCAATCCTTAAAAAATAAAATTAAGATCAACCAAACAAAATGGAGAAATAACATAAAGTTCATTCATATGACATTTATTTTGACTGATTTCATTACTAGATTTACATCATCTTTGAAACATTGTGCACATTCTTCCAGGGCTGGATCAGAGGTTTTTGATGATGCAATCTTTGATGTAACTAAGTGGATAAAAACTGGTGGCTGAAGGTTGAGCATGCATGAAATAGTTGTCTATAACAGCATCTCTGCAAATTGTGAAGCCTCAAAATACATTTATCTGTATATTTCTCTTTGAATACATTAAATATGCAGTTATCAGAGGTGAAACTAATTTGACTTTTTATTTAAAAATGTTTGGCTGTTTTATGGGTTTAACACCATTGTTTAGTAAAATGGGCTATACATGTTGGCCATTACACTAGTGAAGAAGAAACAATGACCCATGGGAAGCTAATAGGCAAGCTTTCTCACCCACAATGGCTGAGTCTGAGACTTGAACCCAAACAAATCGAGGTGAGATGTCAGTGGTCTGTAAATGTGAGCACCTTAGACTAGACAGTCATCTGGGATGCCTTTTAAAAAAAGTAAATTGATCCAATTTGTTCCTATTGTTATAGCAATGGTCTGACATATTTTCAATAAGAGCTACACAGAGAAAGGTCAAATGTGTGACATATTTATATAGCTGAACAAGACAAAAGCAAAAACAAGATCTACCTGGAGGCATCTTGACTGAGAAACACAGAGTTTAGTCCCCAAGTTATACTATATTTTACAGTGGCTTTGAAATTGCTGCAGTGGGAAGAACTATGTTATGTCAGAAAAATGATGCACTTGACTGACTGGGTTTGTCAGTTGAAGCTTGGGTTGTCATGGAAATTTATTTATGAAGCAGCATACTCCTCTGATGGAAAAATATTAAAAGATAAGTTTAATAAGAAGTGTTACACAAAAAAAATAAATTACATAAAAAATATCTATGATAATTGCCCTTTTGTAACCTTGCTCTTCATCTTCTTAGCATTGGTTATAATCATTCAAATCTATGACTCTCAATGTTGTGTCAGATCTCAAGTAAATTTTATGCTTTACTGAAAACATACTTTCAGCAATTTTTTTTGTAGTGCTGGACTTAACATGAAGTAAACAGTATGCTATCCAATCTAAAGCTATGATGTATTTTCAGTGCTTTTTGACTAGCAATGCAAGCCAGCTAGTCCATAATTTGCAAAGATGAAATCAAGAAAGATTTCAAGTCAAATGATCATGTTAAAGAAACTGAAAATGTCCAGATGATATCAACTGCACTCTATGAAGGCACCGTGATATACAGCCTGCCTGTTTTGCATTACAGACAATTTAGGCACATCGAACTGAGTTGTCATGATGCATCTATCTTCATCACTTGTGTCATAATATTTCAGATATCAGTAACTTTGCATTTGCGACCTCTTGTTCTCCGTGTCTCCACCTTGTGCACTTCATTATCCTGAGATTTCTGAAAAAGTTAACATAATGTATTTATATGCATTAATAGATTCTAAACTTTCTTTTTCTAAGTGACAGCATATTCTGAAATTTACTATTAAAACTTGAGTACAGTGGTTCTCTTTGATATACCAGCCACTGACTTAGAGCCACTTTGCCCATCACCAAAATAGTAATAGAGAGGACACAATTTTTTATAAAGACCAGACTTTTAATGCAGAAGAAGCAGTGACTTTATTAGAGGGGCACCACTATGTTGTGTGCTTTTGACTTCTATATCAAAACTTCCCTATACAGATCCCTCTGTAAGCTGGACACAAAATTTAATCCAGCTGTCTTAGTAATAACCCAACATGTCTGTAAAATACTATGCAGGTTTTAAAAAATATTAACCTTTGAGCAAAACATGTCTTCATGATGCTAATCCTTTAAATCATGAACATCTGGAGATTTATGTTATTTTCCTCTGAAATGTGAGTAGGACACACATTTTGTGGGTTACTTCTAAATACATCCAAATAAATATACTTCCAAGAGATTTTCATTCAGCCAAATGACTAGTTATAATATAAATGTTATTTTTCACTGGCTATTTTGCTCATCCATGTGCAGAAGGGTTAAAGTTGCGGGAAGAAGGGGGGGGGGCTTTATTGGACTCATCATTTTTGTGTCCTGTCTATTTTTTTACTCCAAATCCTTAACTTATCACACTTTTGGCAAAGATTTGCCTGTCTTTTTGCAGTTCAGACTGGTCTGCCTTAGAATGGAGGCCAAAATGTTGAAAATCCAGACATATAATCTGATTTTGACAACACTGAATTTTTGGTGTAAAAAAATTGGGTCTCAAAAAGTACTTTTACCTCTATATTTTGTAATGCAAGTAGAAAGTCCAGATTATGTGGTATCATTGTAGAGCTACATCAATCTACATTTCTTTAATATCACCACTTTGGTGTATCTTAAACGACCTTGAAACTACAGAGCTCAAAAGTAGGGGCACTACTTCCTGATGCACAAATGAGGGATCAGGGGTTAATGAGTTAAAGATGGGATAGTTTATAAAAATCATATAAGGATGTTGATGACCACAGTGCTTGTCCAGTTTTGACCTTAATGTTTTATTGGTTTTTCTTTGAAAAGAGGTGGGTTTGGAATCAGTCATGGGTTCTGCTGATTTGTCATTAGTTAATGTTTCCTGTGTCTGCGATAACTACAATACAATGACATCTTAGTAACAACATCTGTATCTCTAGATTGTTGTATGATAGGATAGGTTGATTCTTTGTGAGACCAATCATTATAGATCAACCCCTGTGGCTTAATATGAGCTACCCATCCTGAATCTGATGTGTCTGCATACAGATAGGAGTGTGATTGGGTCAGAAACTGGGGAACTCGTCATTCCATAACCAAGTCATTTTGTACCCAAACGAGTTGATTCGTACCCAAAGCAATGGTCATTTTGTACCCAACGTCCTGGTTGTTTCGTACCCAATAGTATAGTTTTCACATGTTAAAATCAGTCATTAAGCAAAAAAGAAATCAATTACAAAATTCATTCAATAGTTCTCATGGAGGAATACATTATTATTAATTGTTCCTGCTCCTTTGTTTGTTACAACTGACATATACTCTACTCTTTATTTTTTTGTCGTCAAGAAAGAAAAAAACATATTAAAAAATACAGGGGAGAATATTATCAGTGTGGGAAAGAGTACCAGAAAGGCATTGTCTCCTCCTCAAAATTACTGAAACATTGCAGCAGCATATACAATCCAACAACTAATTGACAAGGCAAATTAACTGTTTTATTAGACAATGAATTTTAAATCTGAAAACATGAATGTAATAAAACTCAGGAATGTACAATTATATGCTGTAGTACATGGGATGCTGTATTGTAAACATTTTTCAATATTGGCAGAATGAAAACATGCATACATATCTTCGATTATTTAAATAATTAAATACTACATTTTTAAAACACAGAAGCAAATATATCTAAAAATCATCCTTCTCTCTCTCTCTCTCTCTCTCTCTCTCTCTCTGCGCAATTATTTATGTGTGTTATATTTAGGATGATTACAAAA